AAAAAAAAAAAAAAAAAAAAATATATATATATATATATATGTATAATAGAGCCATTTCCATTTTGCAAAGGAATTGAAAAAAGCCACCTAACAGAAATAAAGAACTGAGAAGAGGCCTTGATACCTGTATGACCAAATGTCTTCAGCCAAGCCACTATGAAGATGTCAGGCAGGTAGAATCCAGCTGGCCACTGAAGGGCCCTCTACTTGAGGGGCACTCAAAATGTCACGGTGACAAGGACTAAGCAGACATCTTCCAATGAGTGAGGCAAAAAGTCGTAAACTTTCTGGCACTCTTTGAACAGCTCTCATCTTTCTTAGGATCCTAATGATGAATGTTGCATGCCTTTCCCAAAGATTGTGTGGTGCTCCGGATGGAAACTGAGAAATGGGGGGCGGCGCCTGTGGCTCAAAGGAGTAAGGCACCTGCCCCATATGCTGGAGGTGGCGGGTTCAAACCCAGCCTCGGCCAAAAACTGAAAAAAAAAGAAACTGAGAAATGGAGTGACATGCTTCTGGGTGATCTCAATGAGTCAGACTCACTTATAGCCCTGGGCTTTCCAGGCCGTTAACTTATCTACCTGAACCCATGAGTCAGGGTCAGCAGCCCGGAGAGCCCTGTGTATGTGTTTCTCAGCTCTGCCCTGCCAGGCCCCGGGCTCCACAGTCACACAGGCTGCATGCTGGTACATGCAGGCACTCCTGGACCGCTTCACCCATGTGTCCTGGGAGCATGTAGACACAATTGTCTCCTTCCTCCACTCACAGGAGGTGTGCACACCTCTTCTGAGTACTAAGAGAGGGCTTTAAATTGCCAGGAATAAACCAAAAAAGGAAAAGTAAATATCAGTAGTTCCTTTCCCATAAATGCTGCAATGGTCCAGCTGTAGCTTAGAGCATGTGTTTTATAAATAATCAGGAGCAACCTACTTGCCTATCAGCAGAGGTTCATTCATGATGTGTGTTCATGATGGGGAGAATACTGAGAATGAAGTAGGGCCAGGCATTTGCTCACACCAGTAGTCCCAGCACTTTGGGAGGCTGAGGCAGGAGAATCCCTTGAGCTGAGGAGTTAGAGGTTGCTGTGAGCTGTGATGCCACTGCACTCTACTTAGGGTGACAAAAAAAAAAAAAGAGTAAAAGGAAAGTTGCATATAGCCAGGTGTTGCGGAGGACACCTGTAGTCCCAGCTACTTGGGAGGCTGAGGCAAGAGAATCCCTTAAGCCCACGAGTTTGAGGTTGCTGTGAGCTGTGATAACACAGCATTCTACCAAAGGTGACATAGTGAGACTCTGTCTCAAAAAAATAAATAAAGTAAAAATATAAACAAATAAATGGGATAGTGTAAACAGCCCTGAATAAGCAGCTACTTATCAGATTCATAAAGGTGATGCTTAAGCAGAAAAGGAGAAATGCTTGAGGGTGGTTGTTCAGAAGCTGAAGGTATGATGTACCAAAAAAAAGCAATGACCGAATAATCCCCTCTCCATCCATCTATGGGCATTTCCTAGGTCAATCTCTGGGCTAGTTTCTCTTGTAGGCCATAGTCCCTATTGTAATATAGGGTGGGAGAAAAGGCCATCTTACTGGGCAGGTCTGTTTTTTGTTGGTTTTTTTGGGGGGTCAGTCTTATTTTGTCACCCTCGGTAGAGTGCCATGGCATCTTAGCTCATAGCAACCTCAAACTCCTGGGCTCAAGTGATTCTCTTGCCTCAGCCTCCCAAGAAGCTAAGATTATAGGCACCTGCCACAACACCTGGCTATTTTTTAGAGACAGGGACTCACTCTTCCTCAGGCTGGTCTTGAACTCATGAGCTCAGGCAATCCACCCACCTCCGCCTCCCAAGGGCTGGGATTAGAGCTGCTGAACCCAGCCTATTGGCCAAGTCTTATTTTACTGGGATCCCAATGCCTGGTGAGATGGAGGGGTGGTTAGGTACAAAAACAACTGTTGTGTGTCCATGTACCAGCACCTGCTCAGCCCATATTGGCTCTCTTCCTTCCCACCCTTTGTCTTTCCAAAATTGGGTGTCCTGTCAAAGAGAACAGCTTCCTAGGACCAGTCTTCATATAGAAAATTAATATGCTATTTTAAGAAATAACAGGCTAAACACAGTGGCTTATGCCTATAATGCTAGCACTTTGGGAGGTTGAGGCGGGTGGATCACCTGAGCTCAGGACTTCCAGACCAGCCTGAGCAAGAGTAAGATCCCACCCCTAGGCTCGGTGCCTATAGCTCAACCAGCTAAGGCGCCAGCCACGTACACCTAAGGTGGTGGGTTCGAATCCCCAGCCCGGACTCGCCAAACAACAATGACGGCTGCAACCAAAAAATAGC